TGCCGACCCCCATCGAATGTGGGTATGTTCTTTACCCGAAATCGGGGGTGGTACTTTTTACTACAATTTCATTCGTTTTATTTCAGGCGGTTGAGCCGCGGCTCTTTAACGTGGTCTGTAGTCTCTAAACTAAAGTCATCGGTGACAGACTTTATGGCTTCTGGTCTTTGCCAAAAGCTTTTGAAAACCAGTGCACCACTGCAGAAGAGTTATCTTGTAGTAAAACTATTACACAAGACCGGTTAGTCTTAGTATCTATTGCCGCACCACAACAACGTCCTTCAGGGCTGGGCCTCTTATTGAAAAACGACACAGTGAGTGAGGTGTTTGAGGGCCATTCTGCACATATGCGTTAAATGCGTTAAATATTTTAACGCAATTAATTCAAAAAATGTATTACCGCCGTTAACGATATAATTTTGACAGCATTACTCCTATTATGATAAAACTCTATGGAAACTTGGGATCTGTTTTTGGACAGATTTAACTGCACTTGTGAAAAAAATACATGAATAATTAATTTAGTGAAATGTTGAGTAGGATTCAAACAAGAGAAACCCATTTTAGTGATGATGTGATGCACTGCGGTCGTTACTATTCGACATGGGAATGCAGCATCACAACACTCAAAGTGACTCCAGCTGGCAGTTACAGAGACTGACTTAGTGAATCTTTATTTGATAGTTTTGGTTCATTAAATGTGTGTTGATGCAGTGAGTTATTTACAAAAATAGCACAACTAGATTAGACATCATTACACAGCAAGAATATAATATCAAGTCAGTAAAAAAATTACTTTTGTCTCTCGTCGTCCCCTTTTGTTTTTACAGTCGTCAGAAATGCTGACTTTGTGCATTATTTGTTTGATTCAGGTACTCGTGTAAGCAGTGTACAGACTCCTACCCCAACAGCCGAACTACACCCAAAACCCAAACGCGCTCTCGGAGCTACACCCGCTCTCTGACCAGCTCACAGGTAACAATGTGCTCCATTTGTGTAAACCGTGTATTCACAAGTTTCTTTAAGTTGAGGTGTCCAGACTTCAGCAATGTGTCCTTTCCTTCAGCTGGGAGACGCGTTGAACCGTCAGTTCGAGGCGGTGTGTGAGACCATGTTCGGGGAGGTGGAGTCTCAAGCCGTCGAGGCCCTGGACCTTCCCGGTGTTTTCCGCACGCGCAGCCACAGCTACGTCCGTGCCATCCAGGCCGGCTGTTCCCAAGACGACGACTGCCTCTCCGTCTTCTCCATGTCGGGCCCCCAGGGAAGCATCAAGGCCGGGGCGGGTGAGTGTATGCATGCATGTGTGTGTGTTTTGGCGTACCATTATGCAGCATCTGTGTTTTGTAAGGGTGTGTGTGGCTACCTTTTATATGGTGGCCACCTGGTGAGAGACAAAGTGGGAGTAGTAACTTCCCTATTGACAGATTTTGTCAGCTTACCTACACAAAAGCAAGTTTATACAATTACACACACACAACCGCAGACCCCTTGCACAGATGTGTGCAATCTGTGCATCCATTTTTTATTATTTTTTATTCTCTATTCTTTTCAATCTCTATGGTCTCGGTTTTCCCCCTAATCATTCTGCAGTATTTCTTTGTGTTTGTGTAAATGTGTGCATGCTCTAAGCACAGAATCGTATGCATGTTATTCTGCATTCTCTTTGTTCTCTGTCATCTCTGTGTCTCATCTCTCCCACAACCCTCCACAGGCTCAGTAATAGGTACAGGAGGGTTTATAATTATGATTATAGCTCAGCGTCTCCAGCTGCTTTTTCTCCCCGTCTTTCTGTCTTCCGTATGTCTCACTGGTGCATTCTCAATCTTTTGCCTTTTTACTCCATATCAACCATCATTTATTTGAATGTCATTCGTGCATTGTTTTGCTCTGATCATTTTTTGTGTAACTATTCTCAAGCACTCACAGTAAATCTGTGTGTTTGTGTAGGAGTCTGCAGAGAAACTAGCTTGCAGGACACAAATGTCTAAGCTTAGGCCAGCAAATCCCTCCTGATATTTATAAAAGCCTCTGTGAAGTGTCATATAAATCATCGATAGACACACATTCTCTGTACACAAACTCACACATATCTATACCCACATCTGCACACTGGAGCTCAGAGCTTCCTGATATTTTTTGTAAACTGTGACAAGCTGGTAGGTGTTCTAGACTGTGAAAAAGATGCATTAAAGTTTGATCCTTTATTCACAGTAAATACACTGTGTGCACTCGCATGTGTGTTTGAGGGAGGAGAAAGAGACAGAATTTGCGCTCCTCATTTTAATACTTCTCTCAGGAAATTGCTTCATCTTCCTCAGAAGCACAGTTAGGTTAGCTCAAGGGAAAGGGTTTTATTTTGTCACTTCTGTCACATCTGTCTTTTTTCTCCACGTTGCATCCTGCCTATTACTGACATTCATACCAAAAGCTGAATTTTGGGGTGAAAAGAAATAGAGCTTTTGAGTTGCCTTTATGAGTCTGTCACATTGGCATTATTATTTAATGATTTATGTTGTTTTTATTCTCCCTCTTTGTATTGCTTTACCTACTTGTATGACTCATTTCTCTCTCTTTCATTTCACCTTCAAGTCTGTCCCTTTTGTAAGTATCCACCTCCCCTTCTCCCTGGTGATGTGGTCCCCATTTTGCTTTTAACTGCCTCTATCTTCCTTTCTCTCGCTCTTTTGTCACTTCAGTCTTTCCCTATCGTAAAGGTGCTCCTCCCCCACTCCCACCTCGCATGTCCAAGTCTTCTCTCTCGGTGCGAGCACAGAGCAGCACAGAGTCCACCCAGGATGCCTACTTCCAGGGCGGTGGACAGATGGCCCCGAGTTCAGGCTCTGGGCGCTCCAAACAGCACAGCAACTCGGTGGACCTGGGCAGCTCTGACGGCCCCTCGGGTCGCCTCTCCAGGGGGGGCTACTACACGGCCACAGGCTCACGCTCGCGACAACACAGCAACTCTGCAGAGAGTCTGGATGGGGTCAGGGGTTCTCGGGAGCTAGTGCTCTACGGAGGGGCCCCGGGAGTCGGAGTGAGGGCCAAACACAGCAGCTCGGCTGACAGTCTGCTGGAGGGGCCACCGCGGCCGTCCAGGGAGAGGGACGGCCGGGGCGCGGGCAGCCTGGGGAAGTCCGTCTCTCTGCCTCAGAACAGCATGGTGCTGAGCAAAGCTGGGGGGCAGGACGACGGGCGTGGGGGGAGAAAGTGGAGGCCGTCCATCGCCACGCAGGTGAGGAAGGAAATGTTACCCTTTTTAATTAAGTCTGCCACTAACTAGTTTAGTCACAATCCCATAATAGTTTAATACATAAATGTCAAAAATAATGCAAATTGCTTGGTTTGTGTGAAGACAGTAACGACAGTATACCAAGCATATTCAATACAGTATAGCCAACTAATGCAGGGAAATCTATTTTCTTTTTCTCCAATAGTTCTGTCAAATCCTGAATTTTTCCCAGATTTGGACGTGTTGGAGAGCTTTAAGCTGTTGTTGCACTATTCTGATCAACTCAAAATCAGGATGGTGCATATAGGAAATTCATTACAATAAATGTTTTGTTAGAATGGAATACAATGTACAAAAAATTGCGAAAATATAATTTCAAAAATGCAAGCCATATGATGACTGCCCACCAATTGGCTACTCTGCAGTGATTAGCACAAGACAACTGTCAGAGAAACTGCTTCTGTACTAATTGCTCCCTCCGTCAGAGCATTCCTTTCTCCTGAGTTTATAAACCTTGTTGTCCATAATAATGTGCAAATATTGAGCAAGTTGTTGAAATTACAGCCTTGAACTGTATGCTTTGATAACTGTTACTGCCTTGGGCTTTTTTCCTTTGTCTTCTTTTTAATTATCTTGTTGTGGCTTTCCCACAAACTAACAGCTGTTAAAAGTTAAGATGAGGTCCAAGGTATAAAAGAAGTGAGTGCAATATCAAAATATTCAGAAACGAAATTTACAAATTACATTCAAAGGGACATAATTAAAGTAATAGGTCACTAATGATGATATAAAGGGCTTTCTTAAGGGCTTTTTCACAAACTAACAGCCTAATAAAGTGGACCGATAGAGTTGTTGTCTATATATACTACATTTCGTAAAATGACATAAAATATTTGCAATGTAGTAAAATTAAGATGTTTCTGCTAATGGAAAAAACCCAACCTCAACTAAAGGTCTAAACTAGTGTGGTTCTGATGACATTCATAAGGTGCCTCAAAACATAGGATACAATTCAATTAAGAGTCCAAAACAAAATGGGGCTAAAATAAAAGCTTTTTACAGACGTTGGGCCACTAAAAATAACACACAGGGACCTGAAGGTGAACTGAAGGTGTTCACCCTCTGGAAACCAAACACAGAGAGAGAGAAGGAGCAGAGGAGCTGGGTGTGGCAGGATTTTAAAACTTTACCAAACCCAGCTGAGACAAATCACTCAAGCAGCCTGCCAGCTGAGCAGCTGCTGTCACTCAAGAGGACTGTCAATCATTGCCAAAAAACAAATGTTGATACATTTCTGATACATCTGTGTGCAAAATGTGAATAAAAAAAGGAGTGAAATGCCCGAGACCCATTAGAAGTGGTTTGCTGTATAAACATAGGCATGCTTTTCCAATTACAACCTTGAAAGAATTCATAACTAAGCAAGAAGATCATTGATAATCATGATATGCTAAATATGTTATTGTTGTTTTTATTGCAAAGTCAAAGGTAAAAGGTAAACTAAATATTTAAGAGCAGTCGCCATACAATATATGCCTTTAGTTTGACAGACATTCAGTTATTTGCGTCCTCAACTAAAGCCTCCCCTTTTGGTCAATTTCAGTTTAGCCAAACTGTGAAACATATCCCTAAATAAGCCCTTAATCATGTCCCCACACTGAGAGAAATCGAGGCTTTGTCACATTTAAGATAAACACAACAGACAAATTCTATTGATCAACTAAATGTAATGACTAGTATTTTCAGCACTAATCAAAATACAGTTAAAATACACAAGGTACATGGTAAAGAAACATGTAGAGACTTGCAGGGAGTAATTTAAGAAGATAGGTCCGACTCCTTATGTGTGCGTTAAATACAAAGCAAGAGTCAGGAATCAATGAGCATAGCTTAGCATGAACAGGTCACAGGTAAATCAGCTAGCCGGCCTTTCCCCAAAATGAAAAATATGCCTATTAAACACACTATTTATAGTTATGTGCCCAGTTCTGTTTAAAACCAGGGGAAATGCACTCACACCTTCCTATTTATTGAGGTTTAGAGGTGCTAGGAGGCAGATGTGTTGCTATCGGACAGAGCCAGGCTAGCTATGTCGCATATGTATGCTAAGTTAAGCTAACCAGATGCTGGCTGTAGCCTTTTGTTATGAAAACAAATACTTAAATTCCAGTTTTGTATGAGGTCTTACTGTTTTGCCTTGTGTTTTCTTCTGCTCCAGGTGGACAGCTCAGAGACTCTGTCAGATTCAGACCCAGATGGAAAAGCCCTGACAGAGGTCCACTCTATAGGAGTCCAAGTGGAAGATGACAAAAGGTAACGGAAACACAACATGAAATCTAAGCAGGGTGAAAGTTTTCGTCTTTGAAGTCTCTTACAAACTTGAGATGTGTTTATTTTGCCTTACATTTAGCTTGCCTTAATTATGGACACAAACCTCCAAACTATGATATGTTTTTGTTTATTTGCTAATTTTGTCTTTGCGGGGAAAGAATGTGGCTTTATCAAGAGCTTTTGGTCTTTGCACACTAATTTATGTGAATAATTGTAATAAATAATGTTCAAAAAAAGCCTTCATCTCCTGGGCGCCCAACAGTGCAGCCACCTTTGGTTGATTTCTAGGCTAGATCCTATTATTTCATTTAACATTTCATCAGAGATCACAGCTTGAACTCATTAACACTTTGTTCCAAGAATGTCTTGTTTTTATCAACTGTAACCATGACTACTGCAAATCATACACTCAACATGATTTTCACATGTCATGTAGCCCTTTTCCTAATTGTATCCAGCATCACTTACGGGTCAGATTCACTTGCATGCGAGCACCCCCAACATCACACACTCCCAAACCCCAATGTCCCCCACTTCCTGCATCTTCAAGGATGACTCACATCCAACGCCTTTTTACACAGCAAATAAGGGTGAGGGGAGGTATAAATGTGTTATAAAGTAAACATTCATCACTGAGTCTATTGACAGGACATTTGCACACACTGCTGCGTCATATGCCAAAGGATTTAACAGGGCTTAACACAACCCAGCGATTAGTAGTGACTGCAGTGACAGCCTGACTCAGAAAAAACTGATTTGAATATGGCTTTTGCATGCGATACTCTGTGTGACCGGATGGTTCTGGGCCTGCTGTGACTCCCTGTGTTGCAGGCGTGCTCGCTTCAAGCGCTCCAACAGCGTGACGGCGAGCGTGCAAGCCGACCTGGACCCCGAGGGCTTCCACGGGCTCAGCATCGCCGTGCCAATGCAGGACAAGAGTCTTCAGTTCGGCTGTTCTTTCCAAAGGCACTCCTCAGAGCCGGAGTCAGCAAGCCAGTACACAGAGTGCCAACGCACCGTGCACACGCAGGGACAATGGGCCTACAGAGAGGTAGTTCTGCATGGATATGCTGGCCTAAACTATTGAACTGTATCTTATCAGTCATCATTCAGGGGTCTAAAGTCCCCTTTTGATGTAGAGTTAGGTATTACAAGTACCTAGACTAAGACATGAGGATTGAGGGTGAGGTACAAACGTGTTTTATTTCAGACTAGTGGAAAGAAACATTCAAAATACACATTATGTCTTTATTTTATTCTAAATATACTGTGTATGCATTCCTATGTTTTGCAGGTTTTTACAAAAGGGTTTGTTTATCAATAATGTATAGCTTGATTTATATTGAAACATTTTATCCCTGAAAATCTGTAAGGATGTTGACAGTTTTTAATGAAATGGTGGCAAAGAGATCTAAAAAAAAGATCTCTCTGTAAAACAAATACACTCTTATATGTCAACAAAATGAGAAAAACTTTTAAAAATGGGCTTTATTAAATAATCATATGTAGGCAAATTAGAAAATAATGACAAAGAATAATAATGCCTCAATTGCATATTTAAACATCGCATTACCGACAACTTGTAATACAAAAAAATGGTGTCTTAATGAAAGTTACCAGCTAGGGAAGTTTCATGATGATATCTACAAGTTAAAATCTTTAGTGTCTTGCAAAATACAGTGTCCAACTGTTTTCTAATGCTATCACAGGACTTAATCCAGGGTGGCTATACCACGGAGGACTGCCCAGGGGACCCGCGGCCCCACCAGCACCCACACCTGCCTCCACGGTCCCACTCTCCTCTGCCCATCACCTCTGAGAGAGCGTGGGCGGGGACGCCGTCACTGGAGGGCCCCCGGAGCCTGCCCGACTCTGGCCGCGCCTCGCCCTGCATGAGAGACGGAGAGTTCTTCTTACGCCTCCTGCAGACAGAGGTGGAGAGGATGGAGGGCTGGTGCCAGAACATGGAGCGAGAGGCAGAGGAGAACGAACTGCCAGAGGAAGGTGAGTTTGAGCGGCAGGTCAAAAAGGATCAGAGAGAAAAGAATAAACAATGATGATTCTTGGTTTTCTAAAACGACATGTGCGCTGTTTCCGTAGTTCTTGAGCTGATACGAAATGCAGTTGGCAGTGCCCAGATGCTCATGTCTCAGAAGGTCCAGCAGTTTTTCCGCCTCTGCCAACAAAGTGTGGTAAGTATGTGTGATAGCACAGAAGATCATGGCAACACACATTATCAATGGTGCATGGTTTTGCTGAGATTCACAGCAGCTAAAAGCAAACTAAGCTTCGCTGCAGGAACAGTAGCAAAAATTATTATTTAACCGTCTTTCTCTCTTGGATATTGTTTGTTCACCCATCTTTTTTTTTATCTTTAATAATTTTGTTATGCTTCTTAGTCAAGATGAAGCTGTCTTTGGCTCTTTTCTTTCGAATAAAGGTATTCTGATTTCTGATTCTGATCACAAGTCATGTCCCCCCCCCCCAGCCCACCTCTCAGGACCTGGCAGGCCTCTGGGACCTGCTCCAGCTCAACATAGAGGACGTCAGGGTCAAGTTTCATGACCTCCAGAGGCTCAAGGACTCTGGTTGGAGGCTCCCACCTGAAAAGAAGGTGAGAGGCCTGGGGGTCCAAAGAGCCCTGGTTTCCCTACGCCACTCCCCCAGAGCTAAGATGGCGGTGTGCAGAAGAGTAGCGCAGATGGTCGTGCCCTCCAAGCCTTTGCAGACTGTGAATATACACAACAGCCAGAGGAACTGAACTGCACAGGAGAACATGGAGTCTTAAACTGATAAAACATCGAAATACATATCAGCTGTTCTGCATGTATTGCAGCTGAGAGGAAAAGTCCTTGTCTTTCACATTACTGTCGATAAAGCTCACTTTCTGATACTGACTACATTATTCTTGATAACAAACTAACAATTTTTTCTCTTCTCTTCTTTTCCTTTTTACATCTTCGTTTTCCTCCTTATTCTCCCATTTCATTTCCTTTTGTGTCACCCGATGCCGATGCATGCTGGGATGTTTTTTTGGTTCCCATTTATTTTGTTAACTATGATTATTTGTTTCTCATAATGTCTCGGTGTGTGATTCTTCCTCACTGAAATTATACCTTTTTTGTTTTGCCATTCTATTTGTTTTTCCCAATATCTCCTCTTTGTTGCATGGAATTTTTGTACAACCATACAACCTTTTTGTTCACCACCCGACACGATATATCCACTGTCCCTTTCCACCAACGTCTCACCATGGCCGGGTTAGGAGGATAAGAAGCTTCCTCCTCCCTTACCAAAGAAGCCAGCAGGCGGGGTGAGTGGCAGCCTCCGGGCGGATAGCGTCGGGGATGTGATCGGTGGCGGTGGAGGAGGAGCTGGGTCGGGGGGCCTGGTGGTCCCTCGCATTGGTGGACATACCCTACCCATGAGGGAGAAGTCCCTGGACCTCGGGGACCGTCAGAGGACAGAAGCGAGGAGGAGGCTCCTGCAGACCAAGCGTACCGCCTCCTTCAGGCAGAACTCGGCCACAGAGAGCGCAGACAGCATCGAGATCTACATCCCCGAAGCCCAGACTCGACTCTGAACACAAAGCCCCCTCACCTCCTCACTCACCCTCAGCCCCCCTGAAGCTGACCTGTCTCAGTCTTTCTCTGAGTTTTTGGATCTTCTACAGGTCATCGCTATTTATCTGATATCCTCCCTTGAGCACCACTTCACTTCTCACAACTACAATTCACTACTCTTGCTCATTAAACAAGCAATGACAGCCATTTTAGTGTCTTGAAATTTGGAAATGTTACTGACACAGAAGCCTAGACCTGAAACGGTAGCAAGCAGATATGAGTTATAGACTTTTTTAAGAATTTCCTTTTGGCTGACAAGCAAGAAACAGTCCACTTTTATAGCAGTAGTCAGCGGAGGTTCACGCAGTAGTAGCATGCCTGTGCGTGTTCACCCAGCACTTCTCCATCACTGAAAATAAAGGGCTTAACGGGAACATAACCTCTGCGGAGACGACAGAACCTCCCTATAGATCTCCTGTTGCCATTTCCTGAATGCTACCAGTATGGATGAATAAACATGGATTCATTTCTCACCATCAGTTTAAATGCCCTAAAGTCAGATGGTTGGCAATCCCCAAAGAACATTCTCCAAGCATAGTCAGTCAACTACAGCTGGCACTTTTCACCCAGTTACCATCTGTCCACCCAGGCAGCCAGTCAAAAGAATATGAAACTATTTTCTGTCTCTTTCCCTCAATCCTCCTGCCTATCCATGGCCTCTCCTCATCATTCAGCTGTGAGGCTGTTTGAATGTGCAAGTGCTATTTGTACATAGTGTGCACACTCATGTTTGCCAAAGGGAGCTTTTGCGGTGTAGCATCACAGCCTTGACAGCTAGAGAGCAACACAAACACACACAAAAAATTGCTTTTCCGCTTTTTATGTAGTCTCTCTGAAGTTTCAAGTGTTCAGGGGTGGGGTTGCGGGGAATTTTTAGGGGGATATGTTTGGTGGATTTTCAGGACTTTACTGATACGGTCCCTATTTCACTGTGAGATTATAGCACCACCGAGTGGTCAAATGAGGGCCCAAACCAACAACAGTGGTCTGCAGAGAGCTCTTTCAACCTCAGTCAGGAATTATCAAACGCCCTGATGAAACAGCCATGAAAGAAGTTCTGTTTCTTTTTTTTCTCTTCTCTTCTCTTATATCTTCAGAATGGACTTGATACGTTTGCATAAAAAGCAGTGGATCACAAAGTAAAAGTGGGGAGAGCTAGGAAGCAGAAACCAACCCACGCCTAACTACAATCCTCTCAGTTTCAAACACCGCTGACGGAAAAAGGAAATTATGTATCAGAATCGAAAGAAAACTAAATAAGTCGTTTTTAATATCGCTCCTCCCCAAAGCCTGTCCAAAGAGTCATCAAAGAGAGGAAAACCCCTTGTGGTGAAATGATAGACAAAAAGGCAACTTGATAGTGTTTGGTGAGATTAGGTTACACTTGGTTTGAATGGAGTTATACTGTTTGTTGCACTGTGTGTTCCTTACCTTTCCTCTTTATTTATTTGTTTGTTGTCTGGTGTTTCCAGTTAGGCACGATTTTAAAAGCTATGAAAGGGTCTTATTTATTTATATGTGCGAACAGATATTTCGGTGTGTGTGTGTGTGTGTGTGTGTGTGTGTGTGTGTGTGTGTGTGTGTGTGTGTGTGTGTGTGTGTGTGGTGCCAATCAGCAGTTTGAAATAGAAAAAAAACACATTTTAAGAACCTTTTAGCATGACCTGTTTTTTTCCTTTTCTAACACTTGGATTTGGAATGTGTTGGCAAAATGGGATATTTTAATGGGAGATGTATATTTTATAATATAATCTACATTTCTAGATTAGTAAAGACCATTGAGTACAGTATATGTACAAAAGCAGCATATATCAAATGTGAAATACTACAGTATTATTATTATTATGATAGATTATAGCATTGTGTGATACTACAGCTGTGTGGCATATCCAGACTCAGTACATGTGAAAAATAATTTCAAATGAATATTATCTTGAGTTTGTGAGTGCTGGGTCAGGTTCACAGGGTATAACTGGCAAGAGTGTTTATTGCCAAGTATGATCCTCCCTAGGCCTACTGTATATCTGTCTGTGGTTCTAACAACATATACTGCTGTACCCCCTCCCTGTATTTCCCCTTTAGAACCAACTACATGTGCCTAACCAGCTATATGTGGAGGTTTTCTTTGAACACAGTTTACAGTATATATATATAGAAAGATATGTAAATAGAAAAAGTATACAAATCTTCAGAGAATATTGTTAAAGAAAATGTTTTTATCAAATTGACACGCCATCCCTTGTCTTGCTCACTGTCACTCGCAATACACACATAAGACTGACGGATTTTGTTGATGTTACTACTGCATGTTTTATGTCAAACCTCCTTTGAAAAATGTTGCAGAATCTTGACTGATAAGAGTACATTTTGTAGCTTATGAACCCTTTTTTGTGATTGAAAACTATTGACAGGATTTTACAATGCCGTTATTAAATGAGTCATACCTTTGTACGAAGAAGACATCCTTGGAGGACTTATGACACTTGGCAATCAATGCTTTGATTTGAATCTCAGAAGAACAATTTAACAACCTCCATGTAAAACAAGCTGCCCTGGCAATTACAAAAAAGGGCTGAGAATCAGTCGACATGTTTAATTCATCTGCAGCACTGTGGGTTGCAGCCCTTTTTGTCGACTCATCCTCCTCTGTTCCCCTCAAATTCAACAACATCAAAGTGGTGTTTCACACAGCCCTCATCAAACAAAGCACAAATACCTGCTTTTCTACTGTTACTCCACTGTGAAGGCCTCTTGACTCCACCCTCACAATCCTCAGACCTACACACAGAGGGGTGGTATGGTCTTTCCACGAGGAGTCGGCCTTGAGGAACACCAGGAATCAAATAGGCTTTGTGGGATTTTTATCCACCGTAGCAACTACTACTTCTTCTTCAATTCTCGCTTGACTTTGTCCTCTATACTATTGATCACGTTACGGTGTTAGCCAGCCACCTTGCCTTGAAACAGGTCCATAGCAAACACATTTTGGTGGTTTTTGATTTCCTTTGTTCCGTATTTACCCATCTTCACAGTATAAATACAGGAGCCTCAGCTAGAAATAGCAGCCTGGGTGTATATTGGACAAACATGATCTGAGCACTCACCAACACACCACAATGACTGCTATACGAACCCTTTCACCTCTTTCTAGAAGTGGAAAAACCACTCGTGGACAGCCAGACGGACAGGACACCTCCGAGTACCTCAGTTTCTAGCAGCAGTGTCTCCAACCCCGACCCATGCCTCTGCGCTCAGGGGATTCTCTCACACAGACGGACCCTGATAATACAGGATCAGTCCTGCAGGAATGTTGTCCATGTTCTCTGAATAAAAAGGGGCAATCATTTGAGCCCAGATTCTCTTGTAGCCATTTTCTGAGACTGGTAGAGCAGTGAAAGATGTTGTGGTCGTAGAAAGAGCTCAATTGTAGCCAATGTGTGTGGGCTGGACTGTATGCTGCACATTTACAACAAAGTGCAACAGAAGGGATGCTGTAGCAGCAGATTTGAGTTTTAGTTATTCAGATATTTGATATATACTGAGGCAGAGCTGCTCTGGGGGAAAAAGCCACTGGAGGTAAACCTCAGTGGGATGGCAAAGGACCTTTTTTGTCTGGCTTAGTAACCAGAGCTGTGGCTTCTTCTTCTTCTTCCAGTACTCCCTGCAATATTTAAAATATACCAACTATCAAATAAATAAGAAATCAACCATTTTATGTTTTGAAAATGCATTTTTGATTAGCACTCACAGTCAGCAATGCTGAGGGAACAATAGGACATTTTGGATTTTAGCAGTAACTTTATGCACATTAGTAGAACAGTAAACAGTGAAGCTGATATTTAATAAAGATCACACTGGATTGTATTGGTTGGTTTTATATGTCAATGTATTGTGCAGATGTAGACAATTTCAATCAGACCCCACCACAAAACTGGTAACCCCTATAAACAAAAGGCATTAAAGAATTTAAATACATTCAATGGCCTTTGGTGAGAAAAAGACAACCACCAACAGTATCAAAAAAGGGTCTATTTTAGTTCATTTTAAGAATTGTAACTCTAATTCTTATCCATACCAAATCTACATTAAATATGTATTTGTTCCCTCCTCTTAGAGGTTTCACTTCACACCCGCAGAGCAGCTTGAACCCCAGAAGATGTCTAACTGAAACTCCAATGTGCCTTTAGCACTGAGGTGTAAATGTGCTCATATGTGTGTGTTTAGTGTGTGTGCGTGTGTGTATTGACACTGTAGTGTTGCTTTACAGTACACACACAGGTAACCATGTGGGTCAGAAACAACTGAGCAATTACTGTGTAATTATCAAAATCCTACCCTGCCACCCTAGCGTTTACAAACATGTAAATACCTGTTGCCAATGGACATTGCTATTCTCAATATGACATATATTGTTATAACAATATGATTATTATTATTAGTATGATTCTTGTCATTAAAAGGATTAATTATTGCAATCACTCTCATTATTATAAATGGTGTTGTCAATTATAGCTATGGGTAAACATTGTTCTTTATTCAAGGGCGAGTAGTGTGTACGATAACAAAACAAAAAACGTTGAATACATGACGATACTTCTGAAGTTGCTGCTACTGAGGAGATGGGGTAGAAGTAAAGCTAAGTGACAATAACTCTGGGTAGACATTTTTCTCTGGGATCGATGATGGACACACCAATGAGGAGTTAGAAATCACAATTGGAAAGTAAGCGTTCGACAGACGGACTGAATGGACTATCCAAACTTACGACCTTCTTTCTCCATTTGCATTTAACCTAATATGTTCTGCCAGATGAGGAAAACACGGACAAACAAACTGTTGCAGACTCTCCACTCTCTGTATTCTACTCTATACTGTAGCAAAACTAAAATAGCCCCTCATTGTCTTCTCTCCACTCCATCATCTTTGATCAAACGGGTTTGACACAGCGAGCTTTTCTGTCTTTAAGCTCAGCTTTATCTTGAGTTTTCTTGTTTTCTACACGTTTGATTCAGTGCCAAGACAGCATATTGTAAATACAAACATGAAATGCTTTTTTTTCTCCTATAAAAAAAAGTTGGCCGGAGCATATAGCAATAGCAATGCCATAAGACATTAACTTTGTTTCATTAAGCCACCAGTGGACACACAACATGCATGAGAACACCACGGTGACGGAGGAGATGCTGAGTTTGTGCTGGACGACAGTGGAGGGTGTTGCACAGTGAAGTGTAAAATCATGATTATGTTTGTTGTGCTGTGGTTCTCATTTTGTACATACACATTTATTTATTGATCTTGTATGTTTTATGGATCTAGATGTGTCCAAGGAGCACGTCCGATAGCGCTGAAGCCCGGAGAGATGGCACACTGTGACCTGGTTTACCCCCAACACAGAATGTAACACTGTCAACGTTGTCAAAACATTTTCTAATGGCTAATATTATTACTATTAATATGATTATTATAAAGCTATTTTAGCGAGTTAAATGAGAGGTGCTGTGTCTACTTAGTCTTTCTTTTGTGTGAATTTTCTGACTCTTTCTTAATATGCCTCAATATGAATATTTTGTTTACTTCTGAAACATAATGACATCCCTTTGTAACCCCTGTGCTTCTATTGGCTAGCGCTCCAACACATTGTACTGATATAGGCTAAGGGGCGGGACATCTCTAATCGGTTGACCAATCACAACAGAGCCGGCCAGCTAACCAACCAGAGCAGACTGGGCTCTGGTTTCAGACAGAGGGTGAAAAGAGATGCTGCAGCACAGGCAGTATGAGAAAAATAAAGAGCTTTTTGAACATTAAAGCATGAAGACATGTCCCAGTAGAGACGCTACATACTGATATACACCTGAACATCAGCAGGAGAGGACTCTTTAAAGTAGAGACACTACATACTGATATACACCTGAACATCAACAGCAGGAGAGGACTCTTTAAAGTAGAGACACTACATACTGATATACACCTGAACATCAGCAGGAGAGGACTCTTTAAAGTAGAGACACTACATACTGATATACACCTGAACATCAGCAGGAGAGGACTCTTTAAAGTAGAGACACTACATACTGATATACACCTGAACATCAGCAGGAGAGGACTCTTTAAAGAAGAGACACTACATACTGATATGAAACCAGAAAATGAGCATAACATACCCTCTTCAACAACATTTTAAGTTGAGCTGTAAAAGTACAGTTGAGTGGATGTTGTTATTATTGAGATAGAGCCAGCTCTTTCCCCATTTCCAGTCCTGATGCTAAGCTAAGCGTCTTAAGCTGTATTTAATGAGACATGACAGCAGAGATCTTCTATCCAACTATTGAAATTATTTTACAGAAAATGATGTTAATGCAAGACCATTTTGCTTATACAAGCGGATTAAGAAAATATATTTTCTACAGATTGTAGAGGAAAAAATAGTTCAATTGCAGAAAAAAACATGTTTACTCAGCTACTGGCCTTATTACATCTTGTTGATAATGAAATAAATAACTAAGTAGATGGAAATGTTTGCAGTGGAACCACATTTGAAAGCGCCATCCAAAATGCAAATCAGAGGTCAAAAGAAAACTTTCCTTTTCTTTCCTGTTTTTGTCGTCTCTCTGCCTGTCGCAATTTGCAATGCAAATGTCGAGCTGAGCACATACATCTATTTAGGAAGGTTAAAGAAGAGGACAGAGAATAACTTAGCTCTGGCATTCTTAGTAAATTACAGTCCCTGTGGGTATACTTCACAGACTGACACAGTAAGGGTATATTTTGGTCCATTCACACCATATTTGTGGTCAATAAACTGCACTCATAAAGAAATCCTGCTGCTACGAATATAAAGTGTCTCACTGAGGTTTTGACATTCAGCGTAGAGCTAGTTAGTCAAATATGAAAATGTTGGAGGTGAATGAGTAATGCCATCCAGAGGCACTTAAAGTGGACCTATCATGCTATATTTGAATAATATAGTGTAGGACCATACCTATATAAGGCATATTTATACTTTTTATTTTTCAAAATACCAAACAGATCATGCATTTTAGCCATTCCTCATTTCGCTAAATTTAACACTGTCTTTGCATGGGCTGATTCTGTGAGAACAGCACCATCTACAGGCCTGGCATATGTACTACAGCGTCTCCAGCGCTTTCGAACGGCAATGTCCGTGGCTGTCTCCTCCTGATTGGTGGAGTTGGTCCCAATAGCCGTAGCGCCACTTCTGTGACGTTCAAATCTGGATCAGTCTGTATCAGATCCGTTGCAGCCCCTTTTTAAGAGATTTGGGTATGGAGGAAAATAGAGAGGGTTGTGTTTTGCATGATAGGTCATCTTTAAGGGAGTTACAGGGAGGGAAACAAATGCTGCCCAATAGTGAACATACTACGGAGTGTGAAAACTAAGTGATCACACTTGGGTGCAAAAAGCACTCGAGGTTTGTACATCCTGTTCGAGACTCCAGAAAGTCAGATAGGATTTAAGTTTTAGAGGCAGTTGTTGTGTCTGAGCACAACTCAGCAGCGAGAAACAGGAAGTTCCTGAAGTAATGAGTCCTGAAGGATGCTTTATGCGCATTGAGACACAGCTCGACAACTTTGTTTCTTGACCTAGCCTTAAGGGACGCTGAATGTCTCAAAACCCTACAGGCACTGCAAGAAAAAAAAAAAAAGTCAAGCTATGAGCAGGAACAGTCGAGTGCCATCATGCTATTATATTCAAGAGAAAGAGCACATTTTCATTATCTGTACACTCAGAAACTCCAACCAAAACAGTCTAGATTAAAAAACAGCACTTCAGGTAAGTGGAAATGTAACTTTTTTGTAGTTGGACTGAACCCTCCCAGAGCTTCTTTGGAACAACATCAATACTCATATAATGTATAACACAACATGACTATTCATCAGAAAAAACAAATCATCTTTTTATTCAGTGGTTTTTAGAGTATACAGTAAAACAAATAAAAAGTGCATTGTATGTAAACGGTTTATTTTCCAACAAACCCTCCTAATTAATTATTTCTGAAACAGCAATTGGACAGCTGGGGAGCTGCCAGGAGAGCTTCACAAGCCGAACAGAAGATACCACTTTTCATTCAATATTTGTATCTAAAAGAGCACAATTAAGAGGCAGTGACACATTCAATCTGAAGTCCTCAGAGCTACAAAAGGAATCATTGAAGAGGAGTGTTTCATTCTTTCATGTTTGGCACAAATACTAAGCCATTAAACAAGCGCTGTCCCTTTAACCATAGTGCATACCCATATCCCAGAAAGATAATTAAAACCTGAGATATTAAAAATCATGATATTCAGCATTTTAAAAGGTTCAAGGCTTAAAGGATGCCGTCCAGTTTGAGTGTCCAGGCCTGCCCGGGGGCATAGGGCAGCTCAGGCAGAAGGACAGTGAGACCCCCACCCGGGCTAACCGGAGACCAGGGGAGAGGTTTCGAATTTCCCAACAAAGTCACCTTAGAAGGGGAGAAATGTGTGATTTAGTTTGTTATATTACATGAGAAACCGTATATGTTAGTGTTGGGTTGCTATTAGGGCTGTCCCGAATACCATTTTTTAAGTGTAATTTGGCTTGGCTTCCTGTTTATGGACATGCTTTCATTTTGAAGGAGGGGTAGCACTGTTGACAGGAAGTTGTTGTTGCTATGGAAACAACGTGACAGAGATTAACGGAGAAAAGTAATATCTACATATGACGGAGAAAGTAAACGATAACGTTTATGGTTAAGTGTTAGCACCCCCAGAACAAGCTCTTACGTTGATATTGGAGATTTCAATAAATTCAATTGGGGAAAAAAACTAAAAAACAAACAAAATGAATATCCGAATAACGAAATTGAAACCCGAATAGTACTCCAACGAACTAATATTCGGATATTCGAATATTCGGGTACAGCCCTAGTTGCTATACTGTTCTGCAGGTCCAGTCTGTTTCACAACATTAAACCGTTTTGATTTCATGCAAATCAGCACATGTCATTATGGTTCATTCTGGCATTTGATTGAAAAATAGCCTTCATCAGAAACCATCAAGACGCTCAAATTAGCATTGCATTAGTAATGAGCAATATGACAGTGTGAGAAAACAACACTGTTTTTTTTTAGGCGCTAATAAAGCCGCTAATATATGTATAATCTATAAAAACAACATAAACAACATCATTTCAATCCCATTACCTTAGTGACGGCAGATGTTTTGGGTCCCAGTAGTAGCATTGTGAGCTTGGGGGGCTTGGTGATCATGATGGCATACACAGAGGATCCTTTAGAAGTATACCTAGAAAAATGGAGAAGATTATTGCTCAAATGATCCACTTCAAGGCATCTAGCATCCGAGTTATTAAGATACAAACCACGCTACATCCTTTGTAGCGTTTTCCCCCCTTCTCTCTTTACTTTTCAATCAGTAGTTAATGAAACATGCTTTAGTACTGTTAACACATAGACATGAAGAAAAACATGTTTATTTATGGCTGACATTTGATGTTTTTAAATCAAGTTTCATCTTTTTTTTATATATATATATAATTATTTTCTTCATCCTTTTTAAAGGGTGATTGTACGATGGGATTAGGGCCACACTTAGAAACAAAAAACAGAGAGATTACGAGAATAAAGTCGTAATGTTACGAGAATAAAGTCATAATTACGAGATTAAAGTCGTAGTTTCATAAGTGACTTGAGAAGGAGACAACAGGAGCGTCCTGCAATAAAATGAGGAATGTGGAGCATCTTGTGAAGCCGTACTTTAGTTTAGGTTTCTCAAATAACAAAATACTTAATCTTTTGGCACATCAGCATAAGATTATCAGATTATATTATTAAGTATTAGAACTTTGAAAAGGTTATGCAAGAAACTATGTCTATTATTTTGAAGAAAGAACCAAACGGACTTGGAGGAGATTGTCTCCTTTCTGCAGGAGGCTGGTGGCGGCTAGAAGATTTGTAATCAAGGCTTTGGTTCCAGAAGGACATAGCCTTGTAGTGGAATCGGAATGAGCTCCCCATTGAAATCAGGACAGGAGAAATCTTAGCTTACACATCTTCGGGCGCAGACTGAAAACTCTCTTTCGACTCCACTTCGAGCGATAGAATTACTAACAAAGCACTTATATACTAATAAAGGACTGGCTTATCTAAAGCCAGTTGAGTAGCACTTGAAATGTTTTAGCTCTATGAAACCTGATGTACTTATATGATTCTGTTTTCTTCAAGGTTGTATCTTCCTGGTCGAATGCACTTATTGTAAATCACTTTGGATAAAAGCGTCAGCTAAATGTAATGTAATGTAGTCGGCCAGAAGCAGACATTTCCTCCTGCAGAAAGGAGACAATCTCCTCCAAGCCCGCTTCTCAAGTCACTTATGAAACTACGACTTTAATCTCCTAATTATTACTTTATTCTCGTATTATTACGACTTTATTCTCGTATTATTACGACTTTATTCTCGAAATCTCTGTTTTTTTTCTTCTAAGTCTGGCCCTAATACTCCGTCGTAAATAATAAAGCACATGCAATGTAATTATAATTTGTTTTAGATTTGGATCTCTTTTAGTGTAAAGTGATGATCCCCCCCTATTTATAAAAAATATTAAAAAAAAATTGCTAATCCTTTTCAGTTATTGTTAGCCAAATAGGAACATTATCGGGGGGGTCTCTGGTCAAATAGTGCGACAGGAAGTTTGAACTGAAGAGCGCAGCCCTTACTAGATCCAATATATTTGGAGAATGTGTCAAAATGATTGTGTTTTGGAGAATGTATGCATATCAAGACCAGGAAATAAGTGCATCCTTCAAAACATAGATTATGTGAACGAGAACTATCAAAATAAATGCCCCAGTAACAAATGTGATAATCGCAGCTTTGGCCATTTGATCTCTAGCTCTTTGTGTCTTCGGGTTGAAATATCCATGGAACATTTTACTGAACCACAAATTGTTCTCCTTGTCAAGGCAGCTCATAGCGTGGAAGCTCTCCACCATCAGTGTGTGTGAATGAGTTGAATTATTGAGTGCTTGGATGAAAGCGCTATAAAAACACATCCGTTTGACCTTTGTTCATTCTTTGAATTGAAAACGTAGTCTATTCAGTTTTTATTTGAAGATAAAAATATTGATACAATGTGTTGTTATTTTAAACTGGTAGGTAAGTTGTTTCTATTAAATAAAATGTGCCCATGTATTTTGAAAAGTATGAGGATGTCCTTTAACAAAGTACATTTAGTGATGAGTCCGCTTGCAGCTTGAGAGACGCAGTCATAGATTAACAGTCGGCTTTTTTCTTTGAGTGGAACATTTTGCTCGACACAAAGGCTAACCATTTTAAGGCACCGCTCAGCAAAGATGTTATCTTCCTATTGTGATTCAAGCTGTGTTGGACAATAGTCTATTATACAGACTGACCTTCACTAGGCTCATTTCATTTCTGTATCGATGAAACCCTCATCGCAGGTTTCACAACGTGACTCAGAGGAGCTTTTTATTAATGTTGAGAATGCTGAGTCTTTATCATGGATCAAACAGGTAGATTGACCACATTTGCTTTGTATGCAATTAGGTTAACCAAAATGACATCAAGTTGGATCTGTTAGTAATGAAAGATAATCAGAGCAAATACATTTGTGTCATTCAACCTCCTTGTAAGAAGAGGAACAATAATGTGTTTCAAAAGTAAACATCTAATGAAGATTTGCTCCGGGGAGTCTGGACTCTGCTGTTATAATTTAAATCCATTTTCTTTTTTTAATTTTAGCCATAGGGTTCCTAGGTCTTTGTCCATCAAATCTATGAATGTATATTAACCCCTTAACACTGATAACATCTAAACCACATATTGATGTTAAACAAATATTGTCTAATTTTCATATAAATTGGGTATTAAGGGGCAATACTAGCTCAATTATGCTATTTTTAAAACACCTAATTTCCTTATGTTGTATATAATTTTTGTGTATAGTTTTATTCTTGCTTTTATTCAACACGAAAAGGCATCAAATACATGTGTTTATATCTGTCTTTACTAAATCAAGCATTCAATCATCAAAACCCCGTTGGATTTTGTATTCTCGCTTATGATGCAAGTCTTAGAAACCAAATACTCTAAAATCATTCCCATACACACACATATTTGTTTTTTGAGAGATTGTGCGACTGAATGTCAGGTCTGTAAAAGAAAACAAGATCCCCAGGTTCTCCTGTCAATCAACATAAATCACCCTCCAACAGCCAACACAGACACCATCATAACTGACACTCAATTTAGTTTGACACAAAAACAAATATACCGCTGTGTATCACCTTCTCATTTTCACTTGTTTTCTTCTCCTCACCATGGTAACACTTTCATTGTATTGATTTGTGTGCTACCTTTCCCTTTTGGCCTCTACAAAAACCTTGGTTTTCTTTCAGCCTTAATAAGTCAGAAGCATCAAATTGAGTTTGTGATTTATCTACACTCCCCTGCCTGACTGTGTGTACAGTAGATAGGCTAGTTCTGAAATTGAAAATTCAAGCCAACTTTCCACAATGACCAGTCCATGAACGTATAAGCTGAGCTGCAAGCACTGCACACGTTCTTTTTCCACTTTCCTTAAGGTTTGTACTGTCCTTGTTACGAAAAATGACAAAAAAAGTGATTTTAGTTATTAACAGCAGCACGGTAATAACTACCTTAGCTGTCAGCAGTATACGATAATATTCCCAAACACAATACCTCTCTTCAGCCAAAGGTTTTCACCTCAATACTCTAGTTGGATGTTTTTGTACTGTGTAGAAAAATCAAGGTGAATGTGCTTTATAGGTAAGAGGGCCTATCAAACCCAACAAAAACAGAACTTACAAAAGTCCTAATGCAAAGGAGCAACAAGAAAGAAGATAATCTCCATTTAACACATACAAAGAAGCTATATGATTGGTGTATGTTTACAATAGTTTGGATTTAGATACATTTTCTATAGCATCAACTCTAGTTCACAGTTTTGATTTAACTTAAAGGTCCCATGTCATGGCCATTTCTACTGATCATATTTCCATTGTTGAGGTCTACTAGAATTTAAAAATTGTGCAATTCTCCAAAATTACATTGGTTTCTCATACAGCATCTCTGTATAGTATGTGTATTAACTCTCTATCCTAAAGGGCTTGTTGGAGCTCCTGCCCCCCCCTCCCTGTGAGCCCAGTGTGCTCTGATTGGTCGTTGCTGCTCGCCGCTGCTGCGATGAGCGGACAGGTTTCCGGGTCGGCGATACAGCGAGAACAAGCTAAACTCATCCTGAACACACACAAACACTCACAGCCGAAGTAAAAACAATAAGTGTGGCTTGATATTGAGTAAGAAAAAGGTTTATAACGCTGTGAGAATGGGTCTGCGGAGAGCATTTCTCCGCCATCCCAACTCGTCTATTACCAGCGTTCAGGGAGCTCTATGCAAGTCAATGGGGACTCCCTGATAGTTAGCCAAGGGATCCTGGTGTGTGAGGTGCTCCGTGGATTGGTCCATTTGGGCCAATTTCATTTGTTGTTGATCACTTCTAAATCCAACTAAACATTACCATTGAGGAGTTAGAATGATGCACGCGCGGTTTGCCCAGATCCGGGCCTCCGTCACACTCTAAAGGGAAAATACATTTTCTGCCATAAACGTTAGGTTGGGTTGTGGGGGCAGGTGCTGCTGGTATGAGCGACGCCGCGGAAAGAGCAGATGTGAATTAGGCGGCAGTTAGAGAGAAAGCAACTTAGCTCATTGAAGTTATTACACGCCATCCTGCCTCCCTGCGGGTGATACGGTTGAAGTCTGAGGCGTTGCGTGATGGAGAGGGAAGTGAGTGAGGTGTTTGAGGTGGTGGAGCGCTGACTGAGCATGCTGAGGCCGGGTGGGAGGGGCCTCCACATAATTGGCAAGAGAGGGATGCGCGTGCTGCGAAGATGCGGCAGTAAAGCTCGGAGTCCAGAGCGCCCCAGTATGTTCCCTGGTTGAACTGCTTGATGCGGCCGGCGGCTTGGCTAGCGAAGTGGACGTGGTAGGTGTAAAAACCTGAGCCTCCGAAGCGTAAGGCCATGTCGAGCTCTATGAGGAAGTACTCGTCTAACTCTGCGGGGGATAAGCCCTTAGACCTCAGAGCTGATGGATTTCGCAACTGGACTAAACCGAAGTTGGTCTGCATTTCCCTGGGCTGGCTAGTGTCGATGATTGATGGCTGTAGTAGCTGAGCTAAGTCTACGTAGTTACCTAGGAGAATCTGCTGACGCAAGACGGGGGACACGGGGGAAGGGCGATAGACTGAGGAGGCT